GGAAACCACAAACTATTCTTTTGAGAAAACATTTTTTAAATTAAGGTGTATTATTTTTTTGCATTTTCCCAATCCTAATCATTTCAAATTCTTACTTTAATTGGCAAAACCGTATTCAATAAATTTTACTTGTAATTACTACATTTTAATTTTTAATTCATGAAAATGCAAAGTTAGATACATAATAGACTCATTATAAAGATTCTTGCCTAACTTTTTGGAAAACAATTTGAAAGTTCATGGAGTCAAAACTATGGCATAATGCTGCAAATTTCTTCCTTTTTTCTTTTTAACTCGTTGTGGTTGCTGCTTGGGTTAACAAAGAAAAAATGTGAATTTAGCCTTTTAGCCACATAACCACTGATGAAAAACAGGTGGTGAATCAATGTATGGCAGACATGTGACAACCCAGACCACGGCTGTGGTTGAAAGAAACCAAATAGGTCTTGGTAATGAACAAAAACCCATTTTTACAACATAGCCGTATAACTTCAGTTGACTAGAAGCAGCTGTAAACCTTCCTTTCAGTAAGGGGGGAAAAAAAACAAGCCCTAAAATGTTAATCTGATCTACATTAATACCTGTCTTTAACTAGAAACAAGGATTACAGTTTGCCAGAAGGGATTTTTTTTTTTATGCTGCTTTTTTCTAATCCATCAAAGAGGAAGAAAAAAAAGAGCCATACAATTGTGCAATCTGCTCATGACACTTATAGTTTTGGTTCTTGAAAGGTATGATAAATGGTAATATTTTGTTGGAATACAAATTACGTTGTGGATCACACAGTCACTTTTATTCACAAAGTTAACATATTCTTAAAAATCATATGGCCATGTTTGTTCAACAAAAGAATGAAGAAAATGTTCATCAATGTGATATACTAACAAAAGGTAAGAATTTTACTTACAAGAATTCATTCTTCTCTAAATGAGTAAATGGCCACTCTAGAAATCATAACTCAGTGTCTGTGAATGAAATCACATCCACTAGCAGAGTCTAAATTTTAACCACTAAAGTTAAGAATACTCAGTACAGAAAATGCATTATAGAGGCTAGCCTATAAATTCAAGTATACCTTTCTTGAATTTTTAAAAACGGGTAACCATATAAAATTATTAGACTTAATATTTTACTAATCTTTGAATATTTGTGGCTCTAAATTGCTCCGAACCTAAGCACATTACAGGAAAGTTATATGTCAACTTGCCATCTCGTTATTTTGAATATCACAAGAAAATTATTTTATACCTTCAAAACTAGTTTCTAAATGTAAAAAATGTAAAAACTGAAGGGGGTGTTTGGGGGAGGGGAAGACAAACCTTTGAAATTCGGTCTTATCCTGGGATCATAACTGACCAATAGTCTGTTCAATATATTGCTGGTGGAGTTGGCGGGTACTCGAGCCAGGTCCTCTGCTGACTGCTGACTATAAAGGGGAGAGAGAGAGAGAGAGAAGGAGAGAGCAAAAGAGAGGAGAAAGAGAGGAAGTATGAATCCTGGTAAGTATTTAGAAATAGTAAGCAACAGAAAGAGATCATTTTCATTGGGAGAAAAATCTGTTTTGTTGAGACAAATGCCCAGTAATAGCATTGCTTTTCAAAATATGAGTAAAGAGTAGTGAACATTGTCAGGAGCCCAACAGAATACTTGTTATAAAAAACAAACAAACAAACAAAAACCAGCTGGGCCCTGTGGCTCATCCGGGTAATCCTAGCCCTCTGGGAGACTGAACAAGGAGGATTGCTTGTGCTCAAGTGTTCAGGACCAGCCTGAGCAAGAGTGAGACCACATCTCTGCTAAAAATGGAAAAATTAGCTGGATGTTGTGGCTGATGCCCCCATAGTCCCAGCTACTCAGGAGATTGATGCAGGAGGATCTCTTGAACTCAGGAGTTTGAGACCGTTCTGAGGAAGATCAAGACAGACCCCATCTCTACTAAAAATAGGAAAATTAGCTGGGCTCTGTGCAGTCCCAGCTACTCAGGAGGCAGAGGCAGATGGATTGCTTAGGTCAGGAGTTTGAGGTTGCTGTGAGCTAGGCTGAGGACACTGCACTCTAGCTTGGGCAACAGAGTGAGACTCTGTCTAAAAAATAAAACAAAACCAAAAATGGGGCACTTCCTTGAAATCCAAGGGAAATGTTTTTGTTGGTTGTTTTGGCTTGGTTTGGTTTACCACCTATAAAGTGTTGTCATATAGTCATTTTCCCCAATGCAAATATAAAACAAGTCTGGGATGTTATAAGGAAGATCCAAGCTAGACTTGCAACATCTAGCATTGCCAGTTTTAAACAGATATGGTAAGAAGTCTTGTTAATTTTGTAAAACATGTTTAATTTATATAAAGTACATTTAGATGCAGCAGGCTTGGCTTTGTACTGAAATTAAAGTTCTTACCCACGAAGAAATTCTGTTTTGAGTTGATTATCATATAATCTTATTAGAGACAACCACTACAGGTGAGACAGGACAGTAAGAAGTTTAGTAAAAAATCTAATAATTCTATAAAGTGATACAGATGACGCTTTCAAAAAGAAATCAGAGTGTACAACATTTTAAAAAAGGGAAAATCAATTAGTTAAATCTCCAAGGTGCAGGAGTGTATGGAGATTTTTTAAATTGCTTCTCGAGGCTCTTCAGCTCCAATATCACAGCTTTGGGAATTGGAAGCCGGGTAATGAGATTTTCCATTTCATTGCAGGTGAAATTATAACCTCCTTGGAGCCACTTGTCGTCCCTTATCAAAAGACGGAAAACTCTAAAGAGAATGAGGGTATGCATGTGGGGAAATTGGATATCAGCATGTAAATTAGTGTTCAAACCTATCTACAAGTTTTCTCATTCCAAAGATAAAAATAAACTTGCTTGCTTACAAAATAGGCTTGTACAGGATCAATTAAGTACTGCTATTATTGTGTCTCTTAATAGGGACATTACAAGTAATTCCTGCTAAGTAATAAAAAGTAAACATGACTGAGATAATTAAAAACAATTTTTGTAGTTTAGAACTTTTCGCCCTGACATTTTTTCCTTCCTGCTATAGCCTGTGTCAGTAAAATTCATTTTCTAACCCTCTAACTCACAGATTTTGTCCTTCATCCATTCATTGACCCAGAATCAGTCCTTCTTCCTGAATACTGTAACTTCCAGTCTTCATGGTACTAATCTTAATGTAATCTGTCTTTAAGTTGACTTGGAGCTCATACCCTTTGTAAAATCTTTCCTCAATCATGCCACCTTACTCTAGTGAGTATGAGTAATACCTATGTGTATATTACCAACCAGACAGAAAGGAGATGGTCTGAACATGGAGGGATTCAAGGCTTCTCTATTTTTGTAGTTCCCTGTGTTGCTTGTATAGTCATAAATACACATTGATTCAAAGACTTTCCATATGCCAGCTCTCCTAAGTAGATTGCAGCCTCATGTTGTCTGCTCTATAGGGCAAACTCATCATTTCCAGAAGGAGAAGAGCATTTCTTCCTGAGGTTCTCTCTTGGGGGACAGGACTTATTTTTCTTCCCTCAAAATTTTCCCAGCATTGGCCATTGCTGAACCAAACTTTGGCAAGGAAAAAGAAACAATCATGATTAACTCAGATCAATATTCTGGTATGAAATGGCTATTGGAGAATCAACCATTGTGTCCATTACATTCTTTCATTTGATAGTCAAACTATGTGGTTAAACAAAAACGATAGTAACCACACAGCTGTTTTCAGTGGAGAGTGAGAGAGAGAGAAAACAGAAGAGTGAGAAAGAGGTAAATAAGTAGCACTCTACAATACTGGGAAGAAACCCAGAGACAGCAGGTTAAGAGAATTCTCTAAGAGGGGAGAGTCAAGAATGAAAGCTGGTAATCCCACTTCCTAGTTAAATTCTCATTCCAAGGTACACCCACCATAATGGAAGTGAAATATTATATACCTTCTTATTAACATCCAGACACGCACTGCTTTATGGTATATGTACATTATGCCTTGATTTCCATTAGCCTTACTAAGAATTTTTTAAAACCATCAGCACAGAAAACATGAATTTGCTCTTTCTATAATTTATCAGTGTCACTCTTCTACCATCTCCAAATGCCTTTACTTCTCCCTACAGTTAAAAACAAGTAATTCTTATTTGCTAAACAAAAACCTAACACTGGCTGACGAAAATCCCTTGAAAATAACAGAAATGGGACACTCAGGGAATATGCCAAATATCATATGGCCCATTTTCTTCTATTCTTATTTGTATTAATATATATTTTCATATCTCTGCTGCAGGTGATATGACATGAATATTTATTCAACAGTTCACCTTTCCTTACAGTAGAAATTCAAAGTCATTTTATAATTGTAATGAAATCTCAAGTAGCTTATATTCACATGTATGAATTCAGTGTTTTTTCTTCCATCTTAAAAAACAAAAATCATTTTTCTTAGCTTATGAATACTAAAATAACATTAAAATCACCTCCACAGTCTAAAATATCTTTATCTTGAGAGATTAGATGGATATAGCATTTCTCCCACAAGCTAAAACAATTTGCATGATGCATATTTTCCTTTGTATGTTACTATACATAACCTTATAATTCTAAAAGTTAGTATTATATATACTAAGTTATCAGGAAAAAGAAGAGTTCAATGATTTTAATTAAATCATATTTAATGCCTACTTCATTATTAAGGTTTTCGTATTCTGAAACTCGGTCCAATGTTTTATCCATTTGACTACAGTATTTTGTTTTATTCTGTGAAACCTACCAACAATTCTATTATATTATGAAGCAGAATTTATTTCTTAGAAATATGATATTAATTTAAGAAAATAAATTTCTTTTCTCAGGCAAAGCAATCAAATGACTAGAGAAAACAATGTTTCATATCGGAGCCCTTTTTACAACCAGTCCTCTTTTGTTCCTTTGCCTAAACTTGAACCAATGTCATTACTAATATGTAAAGTTATGCATGGAATGTGTCAGGCTGTATAGCTATATGATGTAATATTTTCCAGCACTAAGGGAAAGATCCAGAAATTTCTTTCCAAATGAAGAAGTGCAGTTTTCCATTAACTGTAGAACATTCTAATTTTTACATGACCCTTTAGTGACCACAGTGCACAACTTCATTTAAAACAAGGTGTGTTTGAGCAGATTTTCTTGATCTTCTTCCTCAAATCAGGAGATCTGACCCCAAGGGATCATTCACTTTTCCATGGAATACAGATGCAACAACACAGGTCAAAGGTCCTCCCAGACCTGAATGTAATATGGGGGTGGGGGCCATACGACTTAAGGCATGAGGGAATAATGAGGTATATGAAGTGTCCTAGTTGTATTATTTCTCTACTCCAAGGCAGTAATTCTTTATCTCTTTGTTAAGTGTAGATGCCTCTGAGAATTTGATAAAAGCTATGTTCTTCTCTAAAAAAATGTACATGGAGTTTTCTCTTCTGTATGTTCCTAGGCCTGTGGACCACAGGTTAACCTTCCTTCATAGAAATAAATGCAATCCTCCTCCCTCCTATTGCAAGGAATTGGGACTCTGTGGGATGCTTTGCTTACAATGCCAGTTTTCCTTTCCAGATACAAGAAAACATAAAGGGTCACTGTTGGGTGAGGCTTTAGATAGAAGATCCCCTTTCTGAACACTACTCTGAGAGGATTCAGAAAGTGACTACATCAAAGAAAGCAAAACAACTAGAACTGGTGGTAACAGTGATGTTCTTAGTCATTATTTTTAAGCTGGTAACCTCATAAAAGGTGAGAGAAAAAGAGAAGATATTTAAACAGAGCATGTATCTCATAACAACTAAGAAAGGGAGTGTTGAAAACACACACATACACACACAGAGAGACAACCATGAGATTATGTTAAAGGAGGGACATAGGAGCCAACTGAAAGTTTCCAGGAGCCAAAGCTATAAGGATATGAGTAACAAAGTAGCATTGAATTATAATCCAACAATTAAAAAACATATGCATCCATATAGATACAAATAATACTTGAATAAATAAATGGGAAAATACAGAAAAATCCCCCCTAAAGAATTCCAAGTAACTGCTATACATCTTCTGCTTTCAGATTGGTGGAAACTAATTCCCTTCTCCTTTGCATGATGACGTCCTTTCAAACATTTCAGTATAAGAAGGGAGAGGGGAGAGTATAACTGGACCATGCAGACACCTGACAGCTGCTACCTGAGCAGGTGATCAAGGTTAACCTCAATGGTGAAAAGTCATGTTGATAAGTACTCTTGGGATGATGAGATGAGAATATTTTAATCCTATGGTCTTCCTCACAAAGACATATACCGTTGTCTACTCCTAAGGAAAATATCAAGCAAATCCCATTTGAGGGATCTTCTGCAAAATATCTACTAGTATGCTTGAAACTGTCAGGGGCATCAAAAACAAGGACAGTCTGAGTAATTGTC